GTGAAAGGAGGCCAGGTCGGGAAACAGGTAGGGGAGGGAGAGACGGCCTAGTGCGGCAGAGGCAGGTGAGGAGTAACGAGCAACTACAGCTGTGTACAGTGCCTGTGCAGTCTTGTGCTGACCAAAGTTCTCGCGTTCGTCTATCGGCAGGGAGTTGCGAATGGCGAAGCGAGCGTGGGCATCACGAGTCTGCCACTATGAGCGAGCAGTGCTGTCAGCAGTAGCAGCAGGGGCAGTGACATGGCCTAGGGCGTGATCGTACAGTGAGATGTCATCCTTGGCTGTGAGCTGTAGGTAGAGGTGCAGGTCATCGAGCCAGGTGTCAAACTTCACAGGGCGGCCCTCAGCATCGAACACGAGAACCTGTGGGCTAGCCATAGGAACAGTAGAAATAGCAGCAGTAGCAGTAGGAGAAGCAGGTAGGACGAACCAGGTAGGGCAGGGCGGTGCGGCTCGGTTCAGGTCGGGTCGCGGCTCGGCTGGGTGGCGCGGCTCGGTTCAGGGCGCGCGGCTCGGCTCGAGGCGCGCGGCTCGGCTCGGGGCGCGCGGCTCGGGTCGCGCGGCTCGGGTCACGGCGGGGACGGGCTGCCCGCTCTCCCTCGTGTGCTGCGGCGGGAAGGGGCCGCCCGGGGCCTCTAGGTGGTGGGCACGGGCCGGCGAGGTCGGCACGAGGCCGGTTGGGGCCCTAGAGGGGCGAGCGCGGGGCCGATCGGGGCCTGAGCGGGGCTAGCGCGGGGCCAAACGGGGCCTTGACGGGGCTAGCAAGGGGCCGACGGGGCCTGAACGGGGCTAGCGCGGGGCCGACGGGGCCTGAAACGGGGCCGACGGGGCCTGAAACGGGGCTAGCGCGGGCCTGATCGGGGCCTGAATGGGGCTAGCGCGGGGCCGACGGGGCCTGAGAGGGGCTAGCGCGGGGCTGACGGTGCCTGAAACGGGGCTAGCGCGGGCCGACGGGGCCTGAGAGGGGCTAGCGCGGGGCCGACGGAGCCTGAAACGGGGCCAACGGGGCCTGAAACGGGGCTAGCGCGGGCCGACGGGGCCTGAGAGGGGCTAGCGCGGGGCCGACGGGGCCTGAAACGGGGCCGACGGGGCCTGAAACGGGGCTAGCGCGGGCCGACGGGGCCTGAGAGGGGCTAGCGCGGGGCTGACGGGGCCTGAAACGGGGCCGACGGGGCCTAAACGGGGCTAGCGCGGGGCCTGAACGGGGCCTTAAAGGGGCCGACGGGGCCTGAACGGGGCCGCTAGGGAGAGCGGGCGTGGGGCCGACGGGGCCTGAACGGGGCTAGTGCGGGGCCGTCAAGAGGGGCCTCTAGGGGCGTGACACGCCGAGGCGCCCTAGGGCACAGGTAGGTAGGTAGGTAGGTAGTTACGTAGTGGTGGGCCCTTAGAAAATTTCGGTCCTAGGAAGGACCTGCTCTATACCATGTTGGAATCACTGAATAGGAATGAATGAACTAGCAGTGAAATGAGTACAAGTACCTAACCCTAGAATTGTGTACCCCTTATAGGCTAACCCACTATAGCCTAAACTAACACAACATATATAATGTTTGACATTCTCCCCGCGGGCTACGTCGGTGTAGTAAATCCATTCGAGAGCTGGTCCACGTAACAGTGTCGCGGCGAGCCGAATCCTTGCTGCGTCGTGTTGCGGGGTCGAACAGCCAATGGCTCGAAGTAAATTTCGAGGGTGGCCACGAATCGCCGGACGTCGGATCCCTTCGCGCTTGGATCGAACGCCTCCGGGAGCCTCGGTCGTGCTGCTTCGAGGTTCGGCGAGAGTGGTGCCATTGGTCCGTGAAATGTCGGTGTCGCCACTGCTGCTGGAGTTGTCGGTGCTGCAGTCGCTGCGGTCGCTACTGCTGCGGTGGCGAACCTTGGTTGGCTTGTTAGAAAAGCCTCGAGCCGACGAAGCGTCGCCTGCGTCTGCTCCATGTCGGTGCGGAGGCTCGCGATGTCGCTCGTAGTCGCGTAGTTGTCGCCTTGGCCCTCCATGCCTGACATCAACGCGTCCGAAAAACCGAATCGAGGGGGAGCGAAAAACACGGAACCGGTTTTACGTACCCGAAATCGATGTTTGACAGCGTCGCCCCCGCGGATTTTGAAGACTGGATTCTAGCGGTCGAAAGAACTTCGCGTGTAAACGGGCTCTGATTACCAAGAGTGAGGATCTAGGACCGAGCTCAGAAAAGAGAATGAGAATTGAGTCGAATTGAATGATCACCTGGGTACAACACGAGGCTATATATAGGCTCGACACAAGGCCCCGTAACCAGGTGATACGCGAAGGTTCCGCGGGCCGCGTAGCGTCCCAAACGGATCCTTACCGAATTCGGTAGAAGGCAATTCGGTGGCAACCAAAAAGGCCAGAATTCGGTGCACGCAACCTAGCTCGGTGCTATAACTATAATAAAATATAGAAAAGCACCTAGCCTAGGAAATCAAGCAATTCATGCATGCATATGATTATCCTATGCTAAAAATAGCATGATAAAGTAAAGGCAAGCAAGCATAGCTGGCATAAGCCGTCGTACTCTCACACTCCCGCCATCCTAAGCCGTCTTGCATCGTGTGTGGGGGTGGAGGTTTGGGGGTGGGTAGCAATAGCGGAAGCCGTGGCGGCATCCGTTTTTCTGGGAGCAGCTGCAACTGTCGTTGCTAGCGTGTGTAGAGCCTGCTAGACTAGGTGCTTGTGAGTCTAGCACAGGTGCTTCCTGCGGAGGCTTTGCTCACCTTCACGCTGGTCTCAGGTGCGTCTCGCTGCTTCTTCCGCTCCTGCACTACAGTCACACCACTTACCATACATGTCCCTCATCACTCTGGTTGACTCCTCCTCTGGCGCAGTCGTTGCACGTAGCTCCACTATTCTCGCGTGTTCGGCTGTCCTCTCTAGGTCCTTCATAAATATCCACCTCCCCTCGTTTTCTAGCACTTGGTGAGAAACTCTATCCTCTAGGATCATTTGGTCACTACCATCACTCCTTGGGGCGACCTTGTGGTGATCTGTATGGACTGAATGACTAGGCGATGACGACAGCTGCACTAGGTGACGGCGTCAGAACAACAATGACACAGTTGTTAGGGGAAAGGGGGTGGAGGGGGGGGGGGATTCCCGTCATTGTGCCGAAATCATTTTCGTGCATGTTTTGTGCTTGTGATATGATCTAATTGAATTCATTTTGAAGCCAACTTATGCATGGCTCGTATCCTGTTTCGTTGAACAAAGCCTCTCCATGGCAGCTTCGTTAGTAGATGACATGAAGAAGTCTTGTCTACTTCTTGTCGTCTTGCTAGCCATTTCGCGTTAGTGGTAGATCTGCAACCGTACATTTTCTATGCAGACGCTTCAAGTGCCAACATTTTTGCAAATGAGCAATCTACGAACTCAGACGCCAGCGTGTCAGCGGGCAGGGAGAATTGCAAAGGTTTAGAAATCCTCAGGTAGCTTCTGTTCCGATCTGCTGGTGGTGGGAGAACCATGGCAGGTATTGTGGGATCGACCCGTTGGGAACCAGCACTGACACGATGAATAATGGCAGGAGGCAGCCGCAAGAAGGGTCAGTGCAAAAGAAGATTCTGGTGATCAACTGGTTCATTATCGAATAACTAGTTCTGGCAGTGAGGCAGGAACATCGGGAAAAACCTAAGCGATGAAAGAAATACACTGAGGCGGCGGAAGAGAGGCGTTTTAATATTCGGCGGCGGGTGTAGTCGCTGCACGGTGGGCGAGCTGTGCGCATTCAAGATCGCCATCCGATCGCCCGCCAAATGGGTGGCTCGCGCAAGTAGTACCGTGGCCGCCATCTAGTACTGGAGGCGATAACAATGGTAGCGATGGGCATATTGCCAACAATAGCAACAACATCAATAGGAGGAGCAGTAGCAGTATAGCACTATTAACAGCATTTACATCAGCGGTAGCAGCAGCAGCAAGAGTGGCACATGTATGGGTGTGGATGGGTTGCGCGAGTCGCTTCTGGTGAGGCTGGTGGGCCCTACCTTGGATGTAGCGGATGTGATTGCAGAAAAGGGCGACGTCATGGGATCGCGAGTCATGTACCGAGTGTGGGACGCTGGATATACAGCTGCGCCTCGCGCGAAAAAAGGGCCCCTTTTCTGAGGTAATGGGGAAGGGGAGGAAGGGCAAGGTTGGATGGGGGAAAAGGGGGGGGGGTGAGCGAGGCGATAAAGGGAAACAGGACCTCAAGGTTGGGAAAAAGGTCGGGAGAGAATGCGGAATCTTCATCTCAGATAATGTTTTCTCCTCAACGCTCTCCCAAAACCACCCATTTAAATTCTTACTATCTCCTATGAAATGACTTCCCAGAAGCCCTCACTTCTTATTGGTTTCAGGCACGATGTTTGTCAAACTCATATGCTATAGTCTGTGTAGGTTGTAGTGGGGTAGACAACATGGGGTACAACTCTTTGAGGTTTTCCTACTTGTACCCACCTGCTTTCTAGTTCATTCATTCCTCGTTCTTTCACATGGTATAGAGCGGGTTCCCTAGTGGGAACGTTTCCTAGGGCCCACCGAATATCGATTTTTTTCCTGCCCGGAGCGCGCTTCGCCCCTGCCCGAGTCGCGCCCCGTATGCCTACTCTCCCGTCGCGTCCCCTGCCCTTAGTGGCCCGTCGCGCTCCCCTACGGCCCCGTAGCGGCCCCTCTCACGGCCTCTCACGGCCCCTCTCACGGCCCTTCGCGGCCCCTTCAGGCCCCTCGTGGCCCCTTCGCGGCCTCCCTTCGCGGCCCCTTCGTGGCACCTTCGTGGCCCCTTCACGGCCCCTTCACGGCCCCTTCACGGCCCCTTCGTGGCACCTTCGTGGCCCCTTGACGGCCCCTTTGTGGCCCCTTCACGGCCCCTTGACGGCCCCTTCGCGGCCCCTTCGCGGCCCCTTCACCGCCCCTTCACGGCCCCCTCACGGCCCCCTCGCGGCTCCCTTCGCGGCCACTTCGCGGCCCCGCCCCGCTGCCCGTAGCGACCCCGCCTCGTCGCCCTTCATGGACCCTTCACGGCCCCTTCACGGCCCCCTCGCGGACCCCTCACGGCTCTCTTCGCAGCCCTACCCCGCTGCCCGTAGCGACCCCGCCCCGTCGCCCTTCGCGGCCCCGCCGCATCGCCCCCGCCTCGTCGCGTCACCCCTGCGGGACCCGCGGGGCGCGGCTCCTGTGCGTCGCGACGCCCCTGCGGGACCCGCGTGGCGTCACCCCTGCCCGTCGCCGCGCCCTGCCCTAACCCGCGCCCTGGAGCAGCCGCCACTGCAGCAGCCGCCCCTGGAGTAGCCACACCAGCAGCAGCCGCCCCTGGAGCAGCAGTCACTGCAGCAGCCGCCCGTGGAGCAACCGCCCCTGCAGCAGCCGCCCCTGGAGCAGCCACCCCTGAAGCAGCCGCCCCAGGAGCAGCAGCCACTGCAGCAGCCGCCCCTGGAGCAGCCGCCACTGCAGCAGCCGCCCCTGGAGCAGCCGCCACTGCAGCAGCCGCCCCTGGAGCAACCGCCCCTGCAGCAGCCGCCCTTGGAGCAGCCGCCACAGCAGAAGCTGCCCCTGGAGCAGCCTCCCCTGCAGCAGCCGCCCCTGGAGCAGCCACCCCTGAAGCAGCCGCCCCAGGAGCAGCCGCCACTACAGCAGCCGTCCCTAGAGCAGCCACCCCTGCAATAGCCGCCCTTGAAGCAGCCGCCCCTACAGCAGCCGCCCCTGGAGCAGCCGCCCCTGCAGCAGCCGCACCTGGAGAAGCAACCCCTGCAGCAGCCGCCCCTGGAGCAGCCGCCCTTGCAGCAGCCGCCCATGGAGCAGCCGCCACTGCAGCAGCCGCCCCTGGAGCAGCCACCCCTGCAGCAACCGCCCCTAGGGCAGCCGCCCCTGCAGCAGCCGCCCCTGGAGCAGCCGCCCCTAGAGCAGCCGCCCCTGGAGCTGCCACGGAGCCCTCGCCCTACAGTGGTAGCGGCCTTGCCGTTGCCGCCGTCGTACGCCTGCCCTTCTCGCCACTGGTGAGCACTGCCCTGCTCGTACTACTGCTACTACTGCTCTTGCTGCTACTGCTCTTTCTACTGCTACTGCTGCTCCTAGCGTGTCCAGATGCAGCTCCACCGCCGTCCGCATGAGTCCCTCACCCCCCAACAGCTTCGTGAGTGGTACACTAGTTGGGGTTATAGGGGTGGCCGCGCTGTGACTACTGCTATTGCTACTGTGGCTACCACTGCTCTTACTGCTCTTGGCGGTGGCCAGATGCAGCTCCAGCGACGTCCACATGAGTCCCTCACTCCCCAGCAGCTTCGTGAGTGGTACGCTACTTGGGGTTGTCGGGGTGGCCGTAGTGGGAGTCGTCCTGGAGTAAGTAGTTCGGCAGCTGCTTGTACTGGCCAGGTGCAGCTTCAGCATCGTCTGTGCGCGGTCCTTTCGCCCCAGCAGCTTCGTGAGTGGTACGCTCAGCGTGACGGGTCACGGGGTACTGCTCGCTGTCCGTACGTTATTCGCACCGGTGCTCGGACTTGTCAGCCTTGCAGGACGTTTGGTCACGCAGAGTCCCGCTGCTTCGCACGTCTGAGCGATGCCTGGCGTACGGAGTTTGGCGACGCGGCTGAGCTCCCCGACTGGGTGGAGCTGCTTCGGTTGCGGGTAGATATCTATACTCTTGACTATGATGCTATCCTCACTACCATGTATGCATTGCCAACTAGTGATGAGGGTGACTATTACCTGTGTGTTCTGCCTGACCCGGGCATTGAGGCTGCTGCTCTAGGTGCTGGTGAGGCTGCTGCTCTAGGTGCTAGTGCGTCTGCTGCCCCAGGTGCTGGTGAGTCTGCTCTCTCAGGTACCACGTCGACTCAGGCCTTACACACCTTTACCCTTGACTCGGGTGCTTCCCGCTCCTTCTTTCGAGACCGCACCACGCTTACGCCGCTTAGTCGGCCGTTTGCGGTCTCCGTGGCGGATCCCTCTGGGGGTCCTGTCCTTGCTCGCTAATCCACTGTCTTACCGTGTCCGGCAGCCCCCTCTGGCACCCTGTTAGGTCTCTATCTCACCTCGTTCTCCACGAACTTGGTGAGTGGTGCTGATCTACAGGATGGGGGTGCTGACCAGTTCACTCCTGCGAGTCAGCGGGTGACCCACTGTACGTGTGCTAGGACGGGCTGACACTTGGCCACGTTTACCCGTCGGCCGGGGTCAAGCCTGTACATACTTACTACTGAGTCTCCTCCGGCTGCTGAGTCTGGTCAGGTAGCTGCGTCAAGTCAGGTGTTTGCTGCAGCGTCCAGGTCTGGTCCTGAGTCTGCTTCCTGCTCGTGTCGTCTCCTGTCCCACCAGACTCTCCTTTGGCACCACCGCCTTGGTCACCCCTCCCTGCCTCGTCTCCGAGGCATGGCCTCCCGTGTCATTGTCTCTGGTCTCCCTCGGTCCCTCCCTCCCCTCCCTCCGGGGCCTGCCCCTATCTGCGTTCCCTGCATCGAGGGGAGGCAGCGCGCCGCCCCTCACTCCTCCGAGTTTCCTCCGACAGAGGCTCCGCTGCAGACTCTTCACATGGACGTGTGGGGCCCCGCCCGCGGCCGTGGCCAGGGTCACGAGCGGTACTTCCTGTTGGTGGTTGACGACTACTCGCGTTACACCACGGTGTTCCCCTTGCGCAGCAAGGGTGACATCACTGAGGTGTTGATCGTCTGGATCCGCGTGGCTCGTCTTCAGCTTAGAGAGATTTTCGGCTCGGACTTTCCTGTTCTGCGTCTGCACTCTGACAGAGGCGGAGAGTTTTCCTCTGCCCGTCTGGGAGCCTTCTGTCGTGCACAGAGCATCCGCTAGACCTTCATGCTTCCGGCCTCTCCACAGCAAAATGGGATTGCTGAGCGCCGCATTGGCATGGTCATGGACGTCGCTCGTACGTCCATGATCCATGCGGCTGCTCCCCATTTTTGTGGCCGTTTGCGGTTTAGTACGCAGCGCATCAGCTCAACCTTCAGCCCCGGGTCTCCTTTCTAGAGACCTCCCCCACCTTGCGGTGGACGGGGAAGGTTGGCGATGCGTCTGCGTTTCGGCTCTGGGGATCTCGGGCGTTTGTCCGCGACTTGTCTGCGGACAAGCTGTCCCCCCGTGCTGTTCCCTTCGTCTTCCTTGGCTTCCCCCCTGACGCGCCTGGTTGGCAGTTTTACCACCCCACCTCGCGCCGTGTTCTGTCCTCCCAGGACGTCACCTTTGACGAGTCGGTGCCTTACTACCGTCTCTTCCCCTACCGCACTGCGCCCCTCTCCCCGCCGCCGCTCTTCCTTGCGCCAGGTCCTCCCCCGGTAGACCCCCTCCCCCCTCAGGGTCTTGCCCCTTCAGGTGTGTCCCAGGTAGACGCAGTCGAGCCTGTCGAGGTAGCTGTTGACTCTGGTGCTGCTAGGGGTGCTAAGCCTGCGGGTGCCGGGTCTGGGGGTGCTGAGCTTGGGGGTGCGGAGCCTGGGTGTGCTGAGTCTAGGGGTGCTGAGCTTGGGGGTGCTAAGTCTGGGGGTGCTGAGCCTGGGGGTGTGGAGCCTGGGGGTGCTGGGCCTTTGGGTACGGAGCCTGGGGGTGCGGAGCCTAGGGGTGCTGGTCTTCTCATGTGGCCTTTGGCGGTGCTTTGTCGAGGCGGAAGCTACTCTCTCCGCAGGAGCTGCGCGAGTGGTTTGCTCGGCGCTGGAGCCGTGCTGCTGGAGCTGAAGGTACTACTGTTGCTGCTGGTCCTGGAGGTGCTCGTACTGGCGGTACTGGAGCTACTGGGACTAGGGGTTCTGCAGGGGCTGCTGGAGCTGGTGCTACTGGAGGTACTGCTGGAGGTGCTGGCGGTATTGGAGCTGATGGTCCTGCTAGAGCTGCTGGAGCTGGAATTGCTGGGGGTGTTGGCGCTGGTGGTGCTGCTGGGGCTGGTGCTTTTGAGGGTGCTAGAGTTGGCGCTATTGGAGCTGGAGGTACTGCTGGCGCTGGTGCCGCCGCTGGGGGTACTGATGCTGTCCCTGCTCGTTCTGGAGGCGCTGCGCGGCCGCGGCCGTACTTTGTTCCGCTCCTTGAGCAGGTTCTTGGTCTCCCGCCTTCTACTGCTCCTGCTCCTCCCTTAGAGTGTCCAGAGCCTGTCCAGTCGCTGTAACAGTTACAGCCCGCCTCCCCTCAGCCTGCTCCTTCTCCCTACACTGGTCCTACTAGAGGTCTTGCTGAGCGTCGTGAGCCTGCGTCTCGTCCTGCGTAGCTTGTTCGTGCTGCTTGCACTAGTCGTCGTGCTCCGGGTCCGCGTCCTCCTGCGGTCCCAGGCACACACCAGATGGCACTGCATCCTTCCACTGCTCCTCTGCGTGTCCTGTTGCCGTCTCCTCCAGAGTCCTCTCTTCCTGTCCTTGCTAACCAGGAGTCTGACTCTCTTTGTGCTGCGAGTCCTACTGTCACGCGTCTCCTGGCTACTGTTGTCACCGACCCTTCCTTTGAGTCCACTGCTGCGTCTGCCTTAGTTGTTGAGCTTGTTGACTTTGCTGCTCGCTCTCGTATAGACTACGCTACTAGTCTTGTTGCTGAGTCTGAGTGTGTCTGTCCTCAGACCGTCGGGGGTGAGTGTGCTCTAAGCACGGACGTCCTTGAGGACAGGCAGGAGGAGTTTCAATATTTTGCTGCTGCTTTGCCTCATCTCGTGTCCTCGCTGATTGCACCTGAGGGAGACCCGGATGCACCAGACATCCCAACTTCTCGATCGGACGCTGAGGCGATCGAGGGTCCCTACTCCTCACAGTGGCAGTCAGCCATGGACGCAGAGATGGCTTCCTGGAAGTCCACAGGCACCTACGTCGACGAGGTTCCCCCACGTGGGGCGAACATCGTCAGTGGCATGTGGATTTTCAGGGTGAAGCGGCCGCCGGGTTCTCCGCCTGTCTTCAAGGCGCGTTACGTGGCTCGAGGCTTCAGTTAGCGGCAGGGAGTTGACTACTTTCAGACCTTCTCTCCCACCCCGAAGATGACCACTCTTCAGGTGCTGCTGCACATAGCCGCTCAGCGCGACTACGAGCTTCACTCTCTTGACTTCAGCACAGCTTTCCTGCAGGGCAGCCTGCACGAGGAGATCTAGCTGTGCCGCCTACCTGGCTTCACTAGGTCTTTTCCTCCGACGGCCATTGGAGCCTCCGGCGGCCAGTCTACGGTCTCCGCCAGGCGCCCCGTGAGTGGCACGACACACTGAGGACTACACTTGCGGCTCTTGGGTTTGCTCCTTCTACAGCCGACCCGTCGCTGTTTCTGCGCACCGACACCTCTTTGCCGCCGTTCTACATCCTCGTGTATGTCGACGACTTGGTCATTGCCACTGCTGACACTGCTGGACTCGCCCACGTGAAGTCCGAGCTGCAGAAGAGACACACGTGCACAGACCTGGGTGAACTGCGTAGCTACCTCGGCTTGCAGATCACCCGGGACAGAGCACGGCGCACCATTACCTTGACTCAGTCACACATGGTGCAGCAGGTCCTTCAGCGCTTTGACTTCACGTCCTCCTCGCCTCAGGCCACTCCTCTGTCTACTCGCCACTCGCTCTCAGCTCTGCCTTCGGATGAGTCCGTAGAGCCGAGTGGCCCGTACCCAGAGCTTGTTGGCTGCCTCAAGTACTTGATGACCTGCACACGATCTGACCTAGCATACCCTCTTAGCATCTTCGCACGCTATGTTGCTCGTGGGAGACACCGACCAGAGCACATGGCTGCAGCGAAGAGGGTGTTGCGCTACTTGTGCAGTACGTCGGGCATGGGGCTAGTGCTTGGAGGGCGCATCGAGTGGTCCTCACAGTCACGCAGACGCTTCTTGGGCTTACGAACAGGCTACGCAGCGGTCGTCACAGGGTTACACCTTCAGCCTTGGTTCCGGCTTTGTCTCGTGGTGGTCTACCCGCTCGTCTTCTGTTCTCGGCTCCAGCTGTGAGGCTGAGATCTATCCGGGGGCCATGGCTGCAAAGGAGCTACGCTGGCTCACCTACCTGCTGACTGACCTAGGAGAGGCGCCTCGTTCTCCTCCAGTTCTGTACGTAGACAACAAGGCCATGCTGGCCTTGTGTCGGGAGCACAGACGGGAGCACAGAACGAAGCACATTGCTCTTCGCTACTTCCTTGCTCGTGAGCTGCAGCAGCGTGGTCAGCTGCGCCTTGCTTACGTGGCCTCTGAGGCCAACACTGCTGATATCTTTACCAAGGCACTTGTGCCTTGTGATCATCAGCGCTTTTGTACGATGCTAGGTCTTGTGCCTACTTGGCCTCACTTGCTCACTTCTTGAC